CGCCCCCTACGGGCCCGCTACAATTCACAAATTAGACATCGTAGGAGAGAATTTCATGAGCTATGCATATTTAGTAATTCATATGGAAAACATGCGGCATCCAGTACAGAGCCCTAAACAAAGAGCAGATTAGGATGGGACTATGGGGCAAAATAGTCCTTGGTCTCCCCCAAACTTCACGTCACTGCTAGCGGGGGACTGTCCCCAAGACCCCCGAGCGCAGTCCTGCCTGGCCAGAGTGTGGCTCCCACTGTGGGCTCTAATAAGGAACTGGCTCTGGGCTGGGAATATGGCTGGAAAGCCCTCGTGGACCACCCCACACCAGACTGTGCCATCAGAGGACTCTCCTGGACATCCCCGAGCAGAGTACAGCCTGGCCCGAAGCAGGGTTTGGCCGTGGCAGCCTGCCACTTGACAGCCCCCCATGCCCACTGTTGGAAGGAAACGGGCTCCAGCCGGACACCCAGCCCAAAAGCCAGGTCCTTGCTCCAGCCCTTGGACGCCCTGAGTCCACTTTTACCCCCCCATTTCCAGTCCCGGCAGCAGCAGGACGCCGACAGTGCCCGGGTCGCCCTGCTTCACCTGCGCCCGGCTCCAGCCTTCCTGCTGCTCGGGGCAATGGGCCTGGCCGCCGCGCAACGCCTTCTGGGGCCGCTCGACGGCACGGCCAGACGCGGACGTGGACGGGGCTCGCACGGGGACCAGCCGCCTGGAGCAGGGCGTGGACCGCGTGCCGCCTGCCACGGTCCCTTCTCCACGCGCACGGCCACGCTTGTCCCAGCTGTCCCAGACGCGTGGGGTGTGTGTGTGTGCGCAGGACCCAGTCTGCACCCGGCTGTGAAGAGGGACTGACAGAAACCCGACCTGAGACAAGCAGCGAGGAGAGGGAGCGGGAGGGAGAGCTGGGAGAAGACTCGCGGGCCGGGCCGGGCCGGGCAGCCCCCGGGGGAGGCCGCGTGCCCGGGGCAGGACGCGGGCAGTCTCTGGGGCTGTGCATTGACCCCCGTGCGCTCGGGAGAAGAGCGACGCGGCGCGGGGAGACGCGGCAGGAAGAAGGAGGTGGATGCTCCTCGGGACAAGGCGAGGCTGCTCTGGTTTGCTCTTGGCCGGGCTGGACGTTGCCAGGGCAGAGGGGGCGAGCTGTTGCTCGTGGGTGCCCGGGGGGAGCTGAGGCTGCTTCCGCGCCCGGCAGAGAGCCTGGGCGCCCCAAGAGATGAGCAGGGTGAGAAGACACGGGCTGGCAGTGCAAGGCCCCGTGCGGTTCCCGACACTGCTCCGTAGTGACCACGCACCGCGTGTGCTGCTGCCCTGCACCCTGCAGAGGAGGGGCGCGCTGAACAGCCCCGCCCCCAGCCGGGCCCGATCCGGATCCCCGCGGCCCCTTAGTAGCACACCGAGAGTTCATCGAATCACCAAACACGGGGCTGGAAGAGACGCCGTGTAGTCGCCCCCTGCTCAAGGCACGATCGTGCCCTGCGAGCCCGTCTGCCACCTGAATGAGAAGTTTCTGTCGTGTATCGGGTGTGCAATAAGTGCCCATAGTCAGCCTAGGCCACAATTAACCATTGCCTACAATGCCGAGAAATGGAAGCCTAAAGGATTTAGACAACTAGTCACAAACCGGGGGCGCTAAAGGTTCACCGGGGCATGGAAAGTCCTAGAAACCGGGGCACACAGAGTTCACCCAGGGGAAAATTCCCCTTGGCGGCCAAAACCTTCCCGCCCAGACATTTTCCATGACATAATATCCGAGCCCAAATATGGGAGTAGTGATGAGTTTGGGAAGGAGCGGCCCACGGCGGCAACTCCCCCCGATATAACCCGTAACCTGCCGTCCCAACTGGGAGGTAACCTCACGTGCAGACCACCGAAGGAACAGAGTTCACCCAGGGGAAAATTCCCCTTGGCGGCCAAAACCTTCCCGCCCAGACATTTTCCATGACATAACATCCGAGCCCAAATATGGGAGTAGTGCCGAGTTTGGGAAGGAGGGGCCCACGGCGGCAACTCCCCCCGATATAACCCGTAACCTGCCGTCCCAACTGGGAGGTAACCTCACGTGCAGACCACCGAAGGAAGGATCGCAAGGGTAGGCCGGATCAGAGCGATGCCCTGAACCACCCTGTCCGCGAGCACCCATCTCTCCCTTCACGCTGACGCCGCCGAGCGCCCGAGCGGGGCCGAAGGAAGGGGACTTAGTCCTACCAGTTGTCATATTGAATGAAATAGTTTGAATGTTTGTAATGGTTGCCCATTAGCCAGTTTCAGGAAGAAGATAAGATTTATCTCCTTATCTAGCTCATTGTTTTGGACTACGTGTGGAAAATCCAGACTTTGCTTAAAGTTTTAACTCTTGAATTTATCTTTAGAAGTCTTTGACAAAGAGAACCTGAAAATTGACCCTTCAGCAAATATCCTGAGTTCCGAGAGATCAAACCCTAGAGCCTTTTGACCAGATTGGTAAGAAAAGGTCACTTGCAGTGGTATGGAAGTTCCCCAAAGTAATTAAAATGATCAACAAAAGAAACTAATTACTAAGCAAAAGAATCTGTTGAGTAAGATCCGAGCCCAAATTTGGGGGTAATGACAGGTTTGAGTAGGAGGAGCCCATTGACGGCAGCTCACTCAATAAAAACTGTAAC